CCACAGCCTGACATCAGACGTGATGGTAAGAAACGCAAAGCTCTCCCACGAAGACCAGGTACGAGGGAAGGATGTCCCTCTCACCACTGCTCCTCGACATCTGTCTTTGTAGATGATATGATCATGTATGTAGGAAATACAAAGAATTGACAAACACCCCCCAAAAAACTTCTAGAGCTAATAAGCATTTACAGCAAGTTTACAAGCTAAATTTTAAAATACAAAAGTAAAATACAAAAGTAAATTGCTCTTCTGTGTACCAGCTATGACAAGTGAAATCTGGTTTTAAACACACACACACACACACAATACTGTTTACAACAGTACCCCAACAATGACATACTTAGTTATAAATCCTACAAAATACACAGAACCATTTGAGGGAAGGACAAAACTCTGGTGACTGAGACCCAAGAAGAACGAAATACATGGAGAGTCCGTCCCTGCTCACGAATAGGAAGACTCTGCATTGTCAGGTCGTCAGTTTCCCCCAAACTGATCTATAGATTTGTTGCAATTCCAACCAAAGCCCCCGCAATGATCTTGTTGAGATCAACAAACCAATTCTGAAGTTCAGATGGAGAGGCAACAGCCAGAAGAGCCGACACTGTGTCGAAGGAGAACACAGTTGGGGGGCTGCTCCCCTCAAGACTCCTATAAGCTTACAGTCGTCCAGACAGGTGCTTCCGGCAAGGACAGACTCCTGGGTCCCAGGACCCACGCAGAGCGCTCAGAAATAGGCCCACACGCAGCTGGTCAACGGACCTCTGACAAGGCGCAAGGGCAATCCAGTGGAGGGAATACAGCCCGTCCACAAAGGCTGCAGAAACACCTGGATGTCCCCGCGCATAGAAATGCATCTGGACACAGACCTTAAGTCCTCCGCCAAAATGAGCCCAAAAGGGATCATAAATCGAAGTGTAATACTCACCACTATAAAACTCCTAGGAGATGACACAGGAGAAAACAAGGTGGCCTTGGGTGTGGTGATGGCCTTTCAGAAAAACAAAAACAAAAACACCAAAGACATGATCCATAAAGGAAATAACGGATAAGCTGGACTTCATTAAGACAGAAATGTCTGTTCTGCATAAGGCAGTGTCAACAGAATGAGAAGACAAGGCACAGAATGAGAGAAAATACTTCCTTTTTTTGAAAGCCACTTTTACATTTTATTTATTTATTTTCCTTTATTGATTTTAGAGAGAGAGGAAGGGAGAGGGAGAGAGAGATAGAAACATGGATGAGAGAGAACATCAACTGGCCGCCTCCTGCACGCCCCCCACTGGGGATCAGGCCCACAACCCGGGCATGTGTCCTGACCGGGAATCGAACCAGTGACCTCTTGGTGCATGGGACAACGCTCAACCACTGAGCCACACCGGCTGATAAAGTATTTTCAAAAAACACATCCGCTAATGGACTGCTATCCAAAATACATATTTAAAAAAAAAACACAAAAAAACCCTCTTAACAATAAGGAATCAAACAAACAAAACGATTAAAAAATGGGCCAAAAGACCTTAACAGAGAACTCAGCAAAGAAGATATACAGATGGCAAATAAGCAGGTGGAAAGACACCCGGTCTCGTACGTCCCCAGGGAAATGCGAATGGCAACAAGAAGATGCCAGGGCACACCGGTTAGAACGGAGAGCACCCGGAACGGACAGGACCGCCCGCGAGGACCCGAGCAGCCGGAGCGCGCATCCGCGGCCGGTGGGAACACGTGGTAGGGACCCTTGGGAAGACGGTGTGTGGGTTTCTTCCCAAACAAAACATATTCTTCCTATCAGCCCACCGCTCCGTGGTAAATGCCAGTCCTTGCTCTTTGCCCGAAGGAGCCGAAAACTCAGGACCACACAGATGTGTATGGCAGCTCCGTACTTAATCCACAAGTGTTGGAAGCGACCAAGGTGTCCTTCAGCAGGCGAACTTGTACATAACTCACGGTCCATCCAGGCAGTGGAATATGATTTAGTGCTAGAAAGAAACGAGCCATCGTCCTGGTCCGGTGGCTCACTCGGTTGGTTGGAGCGTTGGCCCGTGCACCAAAAGGTTGCGAGTTCGATTCCCAGTGGTGCATGTATGGGAGGTGACCGACTGCTGTTTCTCTCACATCTACGTTTCTCTTTCTCTCTCTCTCTCTCTCCCTTCCTCTCTCTAAAATCAATTTAAAAAATATCCTCAGGTGAGGATTAAAAAAGAAGAGCCATTAAGGCGTGAGAAGACCCGGAGGAACCTTAAGTGGACATTACGAAGTAAAAAGGCCTCACACTGCGTGATTCCAACTCGGTGGCGGTCTGGAAAAGGCAGAACTGCGGAGACAATGGAAACTCAGCGGTTGCCAGGCACTGGGGCTGGGGGGATCAATTTGTGGGGCACAGAGGGTGTCCAGGGCAGTGGAACGACCCTGTAGGAGGCTGTAAGGACGGATACCTGTGATCACACATCTGTCCAAACTCATACCGCCTGCACCGCCAAGGGGAGCTGTGGAGCACGGGCTCTGGGTGACAATGACCAGTCGGTGCAGGTTCGTCCGTTGTAAGGAACTTACCGTCCGGCGGGCGATGATGCTAACTCTGGGGACAGTGCATGGGGGGGGGGGAGGCGGGGAGTTTAACTTGAAATCTCTGTACCCTCCACTCAGTTTTACTGTAAACCTAAAACTGCCTTAAAAAATAACAAAGATCCAAAAAATAGGCTGTCAATGGGGGAAATGAAGGAACATCTGTAACAAAAGTCAATCATCAATCAATCAAAAAATAAGGTTCCTGGACAGAATGTTCAAGTCCCGTTGAGTTTGTGGCCCCCCCCATCTCCCTTTTTGCTTGCATGAAAGTGTATTTCCGCCCCATCTGGATTCTGCTGCCTGAATTCCTCAGGCGCCGTCGAACAGGCGCCTCCGTCCTCCGTGCTTCTTGTGAACGTGTTCTTGGCCCCAGAGGCCTCATCAGGCTCAGGGCTGATTCTGTTCGGGAGATGACTTCGTAGGCGGTGCTCTTTTACTTCCATCGGGCAAAACGTGATGTCTCGTTTTCTCTCTCTGTTCAAGGCAGGAGAGAAGTCCAATGTCTATGCTCATCAACTCAGCAGGGGTGAAACTGCTCGGAAACTAATAGCAGCTCAGATGAGCTGGAATGCTACTTTATTCTTATTTTTTAATAATTTTATTGATTTTTTTTTTGAGAGAGAGGAAGGGAGAGAGAGATAGAAACATCAATGTGAGAGAGAAACATCAATCGGCTGCCTCCTGCATGCCCCCCACTGGGGATCGAGCCCACAACCCAGATATGTGCCCTGGCCGGGAATTGAACCACGACCTCTCAGTCCACTGAGCCACACCGCGGGCCTGGGCTGCTTCTTTAAAGGGAGACATCCTCTCAGCCACCATTTGCTACCCAAACACACAGCGTCCAGCACAGGAGGAGACAGTGCTTGCGCCTCTCTTTTTATTCACTACTTTTCAGAATACCAGGTGCAGCCTCAGGTATCCTCCAACTGTGACCAGCTAGGTTTCTGCCATCATCATCATCATCATCATCACCACCATCACCACCATCACCATCACCACCATCACCATCATCACCATCATCATCACCACCATCACCATCATCACCATCATCAGCACCATCATCACCACCATCACCACCACCATAATCATCATCACCATCATCATCATCACCACCATCACCATCACCACCATCACCATCATCACCATCATCATCACCACCATCACCATCATCACCATCACCATCATCACCATCATCATCATCACCATAATCATCATCACCATCATCATCATCACCACCACCATCATCACCACCATCATCACCACCACCATCACCATCATCATCAATTCTAATCTACTTAGTTTTATGTTAACATTTTTCAAAGGAATGAAAGACTTCATTCTGCAAGGAGATATCAACTTTGGAAACAGTCTCACCAGACTGGTCATAGAGGTTAATTCTTGGTCACTGCTAACATATGTCCCCTCTAACGAACAACTGAACAGTGACATCCGCCCTGTTTATAAATCGTGGTTGCTCCCAACGTCCCAAATTCTTCCAGCAATGCTTCTCAAGGCAAAGCTGATGTTCTTACACAAATGTTTTTATTTTCCTGGACATACGTATTCAGCTGTTGCAATCAAACGCCATGTCATCAACCTGCCACTTGCGAACGGCTTGCTTGGCGAAGCAATGGGCCACTTGATAACTTTTCCTGGTGGCCGATTCTTTCTCATTCTCTATTCGTGTGAAGAACGCCCGTCCTAAGAGAGTATTTGAAATGTGCTCATGTCTCTGGCCCTCGCTTTCTGTGACAAGGGCGGGGTGTTTGGTGAGAGCTCTGTGGTCCTGCGGCGCGCGTGGCCCTGAACGCACTGTGCGCCAGGGACCGGTCAGCCACGCTCCCCTGGGGTCTTCCTTCCTTGTTTGATGTCAAGGACACGCACTGGAGTTATTATTTATTAATTTATTTTATTTATTTATTTTATCCTCACCCGAGGAAATTTTTCCATCTTTGTACAGGTAGAGTGGGAGGGAGAGAGAGGAAGAGAGAGAGAGAGAAACATCGACGTGAAAGGGACACATCGAGTGGCTGCCACCCACATGACCAACCAGGGCCGGGGACAAACTGCAACCGAGGTACATGCCCTTAGTGGGAACTGAACCCGGGTCTCTCCGGACCGCAGGCCAACGCTCTAACTGCTGAGCCAAACGGGCCAGGGCTATTAATTTATTTTTTAATCCTCACCAGAGGATGTTTTTCCATTGATTTTTAGAGAGAGTGGCAGGGAGGGGGAGAGAAAGAGAGACATCGATCGGTTGCCTCCCACACGACTCCAATCATGGCCAGGGATCGAACCGGCAACCCAGGTATGTGCTCTTGAGCGGAACTGAACCGGAGACGCTTCGGTCCCCGGGCCGACGCTCTAACCATGGAGACACCGGCCAGGGTTGGAATCTTCTTTTTTTAAAGTCACAGTGTGGCAACATGTGTGACACTCGAAACGCCCGTGACGCCTGCGTAGGTGCACTTCCCGCTGTCCCGAGCAGGCCGGACACAGCCCTGTCGCACTCGCTCGCTTCGCCACAGTAGCAGGACAACAGCCGTGGAGATCACGCCAACCAACGAGTCCGCCTGAGTCCCAACGAAAGTTTATTAGCGGAACTGAAATTTGAATCTCGAATAATTTTCACGTGCTACTAAACCGTCTCGTTTTGTTGTTGACTCTCAGGTGGTTAAAAAAATGCAAACACGGCCTAGCCCAGGGGCCACACCAAAACGGGTGGCAGGTCAGAGTCGGTCCACGGCCGTGGGCACCAACTCTGGCTATCCGGCGATAGGTGTAATTTTTCCTTCTCGTTTTAAGTCCAAACTAACTTTGTTAGTTTTCTAGGTCATGCTTCCACGTGATCCTAAATAGAATGATGTGGAGAAGTGGGGATCATGCGAAACCTCCCTCCCACGCCGGCACGGGCTCCCAGCTGCCCTGCCTGGAGGCAGCGCGTGTAGCCGTGTCTGGTGTCCTGTCCCAGGGCTGTTCTGTACGGTCCCAGCGAGCACACGTTCCCTCTCTCTTCCTGGCTACCTCAGGGTGGCAGCAGTCCGCGCCAGACCCACTGACAGGGCTCTGCCCACAGAGGGACAGTAACGGGCGCTGGCAAGGACGGGGCAGAGGGCAGCCTCACCTGCTGTCGGGGCTGCAAACCGGAGCAGCCGCGTGCGCAGGGAGACAGGTGGGCGTCCCCGAGGGGAGACAGGTGGGCGTCCCCGAGGGGAGACAGGTGGGCGTCCTCGAGGGGAGACAGGTGGGCGTCCTCGAGCGGAGACAGGTGGGCGTCCTCGAGGGGAGACAGGTGGGTGTCCTCCGACCGTGAACGCGGACTGCTCCGGCCGGCGGCCGGCAGCCGGCTTCCTCCCACGCGTGTGCGCCCGTGGGAACCAGGAACAGTCGCACAACCACCTGCACACGGACGTTCGAGGCGGAGCGCTAGTTAACGCGGCCACGAAGGGGAGACAGCGCAGATGTCCATCCAGTGACCCGGCAGACGAGATGTCCAGCCACACGCGGAGTGTCCTTTGATCAGCAGGGGAGTGGGGCTCTGACCTGCCGCAACGTGGGGGCCTTGAAAACACGCCGCTGAGCGAAGGGAGCCGCACAGAAGGCCACTCGCGAGTGACTCCCGTCTAGGACGTGTCCAGGGGCGAGTCAGAAAGTAAACTCGTGGTTGCCAGGGGCGGGGAGCGAGGAACGGAGGTGACTGACTGCCCATGGGGACAGGGTTTTCTCGGGGGCTGGTGATGGAAATGTTACAGAACTGGATAGTGGCGATGGTTGTACAACCTTGTGAATACACTAAAAAAGTCACTGAGTTTTACACTTGAAGAAGATGAAGTCTGTGGTGTGAGCACTGTTTCTCAGTAAGAAGTAGTATACTACGCGTACACCTTGCCTACCAGGGTGCTCACTGGACCACAGCGCAGGGGCCCGCGGGTCAAGTGCTGACCTGGCAGGAGGGAGTCTGAGCCTCTCTACCGCTGTGACCGAAGACTCCAACTGGTCACAAGGAGGCCCGAGACCGCTGGACCAACCCCCGAGACCGCTGGACCAACCCCCGAGACCGCTGGACCAAACCCCCGAGACCGCTGGACCAATCCCCGAGACCGCTGGACCAACCCCCGAGACCGCTGGACCAACCCCCGAGACCGCTGGACCAAACCCCCGAGACCGCTGGACCAACCCCCGAGACCGCTGGACCAACCCCCGAGACCGCTGGACCAAACTCCCGAGACCGCTGGACCAACCCCCGAGACCGCTGGACCAACCCCCGAGACCGCTGGACCAAACCCCCGAGACCTCTGGACCAAACCCCCGAGACCTCTGGACCAAACCCCCGAGACCGCTGGACCAAACTCCCGAGACCTCTGGACCAACCCCCGAGACCGCTGGACCAACCCCCGAGACCTCTGGACCAAAACCCCCGAGACCGCTGGACCAAACCCCCGAGACCTCTGGACCAACCCCCGAGACCGCTGACCAACCCCCGAGACCGCTGGACCAAACTCCCGAGACCGCTGGACCAAACCCCCGAGACCTCTGGACCAAACCCCCGAGACCGCTGGACCAAACCCCGAGACCGCTGGACCAAACCCCCGAGACCGCTGGACCAAACCCCGAGACCTCTGGACCAAACCCCCGAGACCTCTGGACCAAACCCCTGAGACCTCTGGACCAAACCCCGAGACCGCTGGACCAAACCCCGAGACCGCTGGACCAAACCCCGAGACCGCTGGACCAAACCCCCGAGACCTCTGGACCAAACCCCGAGACCTCTGGACCAAACCCCCGAGACCTCTGGACCAAACCCCCGAGACCTCTGGACCAACCCCCGAGACCTCTGGACCAACCCCCGAGACCGCTGGACCAACCCCCGAGACCGCTGGACCAAACCCCCGAGACCGCTGGACCAACCCCCGATCCCGGCCTCCAGCTTGCTGAGTTAGCACCAGCGAGTTCACTGTCAAACGTACTCTTTATATTATTTTTTAATTAATTTTTATCCTCACCCGAGGGCATTTTTCCATTTCTTGTTCAGATAGAGGGAGAGAGAGGAAGAGAGAGAGAGAAACATTGACGTGAAAGGGACACATCGGGTGGCTGCCACCCACACGACCCAACCAGGGCTGGGGACACACTGCAACCGTGGTACGTGCCCTTAGCGGGAACCGAACCCAGGTCTCTCTCGACCACAGGCGGATGCTCTAACCACTGAGCAAACCAGCCAGGGCTTGGCCGTACTCTTAACCGAAAGTCCCAGCTGCGGCCGAGAAGAAAGCCAGACAAGCTGGAGACGGAATAGAAATGTCCAGAAACAGTCCAAGATGCCCCAACTCCACCGTTCTGAAACACCCCTTCCTCTGCCTCTCCTCCTCAGGAAGATCGTCCCCTCCTGGGGAAGGCGACCCTGTCTCTCGTGCCCTCCCACCGCAGACGTAACCAGAAGCAAGTCCATGTGGCTGGGAGTGACCCCCAGAACTAGGACAGAAACGGACACCTTGAAAGGGAAGCGGGCCTGGCCGCTGTGTCTCCGCTATGTGTTGGGTCCCTCTGTGAGCATGGGCCCGGGGGTCGGTGGGCACGTAGGGTGAGCTTCCCTTTGCCACTGGGAGGGAGTTCCTCGTCTGAGTGGGTTCTCCCAGGACAGGCAGCTGCTCATGGTTCGCTGTCTTGGCAGATGTTCTGAGCGTAGCTCTGTCGTAGCCGATACGAGAGGCCAGGGACGCTGGAGAGAAAAATTCAAAGACTTCAGGAGACAAGGATGCTGAGCTGGATTTGGCTGTGCCTCCCACTCACCCAGGACCTCTGCACCCTACCACTGTGTCTCCATTAGGCCTGGAAAGACGGCCTTTACCTTTGCCTTGAGGATGGGTTGATGAGGAAGATGTCACTGTTTAAAGACAGGCGTTGATTCCGGGTTGTGGGCTCGATCCCCAGTAGGGGGCGTGCAGGATGGAGCGGATGGATGTTTCTCTCTCTCTCTAAAAAATCAATTAAAAAAAATATTTTTTAAAATGGGCTTTTATTACCTGTGGTACATATACACAATGGGACACTATGCACCTGCAAGGAAGAAAGATCTCTGACCCTTTGAGACGACACGGAGGGACCTGGAGAGTATTATGCTAAGCAAAATAAGCCAGTCAGAGAAAGACAAGTACCACATGATCTCATTATTTGTGGAATACAAGGAACAAAATAAGCTGATGAACAGAATAGACCCAGAGACATGAAAGTAGGGAACGGACTGACAAACCTCAGAGGGATGGGGGGTGGGAAGGAACTTACATGCATATATGCACAACCAGTGGACACAGACAACAGTGCTGGGGGTGGGGGATGGGAGTAGGGAGGAAAAAGGAGGGACATCTGTAACAAAAATAAAATAAAATAAATAAATGAAGACTGAAGAATGGCAAAAATAAGGGGGGGGCTTTTACTGCCTGTCCTCTCTGACGGGGGGTGCTGCCGGTTGGGGCTGCAACGGGCCCCACTGATCAGCTGTGATCGGGTGGGGATGGGGGGCATTGGTTGCTTGGTCCAGGTGGCTGCTGTTACCTGGGAAGTGGACCTAATTGTCATATCAAGCAACAGGGCAGCTGTTCATTTAATTTCACAAAGCTGTGTGATGCCCAGAGATCATGCGCTGTGGTTAATTAATTATAGAGTTCTCTGGAATTAAAGTGAGAATGACCCCCTTTTTAAAAAATAAAATAATTCCAGGTCTAATGGCAATAGCTACACTTCAGGAAAACCAACAAAGTCAAGACACAGAAAGCCAAGGCCTTTCATCTAATTTTTAACAGTGGGTCACTCCACTGACTCAGTCTCGAGTCTGGACTAACATAGACGTCAGGTAGCCCTGAGACCAAGCACCAGGCTGATGATAAGTCCTTTCCTCACATTTTCCAAAGAGAAACTTTGGAGACTGGACAGATCTTCGGTCTGTGGGATGTTCACTCCAAGTCCACGCTCATCACTGGGGTCTTATGCACCGTGACATCTCCATCACGTGATATTGGGATGGCGGAGGGTGGATCCAGAGATAAAGGGAGTGATGGCGTCACGATCCGGCGCACCTGTGGCAAGCCCTTCCTGAGGCTGTTTTCTGTTCAGGCGTGAACAGTTGGGCTGGATCTTCTCATCAGCAGGTGGAACCCTCCATCGCTGACCAAGCACGCAAGTCAGTGCCACCACGCAAGTCAGTGCCACCACGCAAGTCAGTGCCACCACGCAAGTCAGTGCCACCACAGAAGTCGGTGCCACCATGCAAGTCGGTGCCACCATGCAATTCGGTGCCACCACACAAGTCGATGCCACCACAGTGGGTGGGGCAGGAGGGAACACACTGAACCAAAACAGAAAACCCAGAAGTCCAGGCCTAGATGCTGCAGGGGTGAACACGGAAAGGAGAAATAATTCAAATTCTCACAAACTCTTCCAGAAAATGGAAGAGAAAAAATTGCTTCTTAACTTTTTTTTTTTATCCTCACCCGAGGACATTTTTTGATATTTTATTCAGATAGAGTGGGAGGGAGAGAGAGAGAGAGAAACATCGATGTGAAAGGGACACATCGAGTGGTCACCACCCACACGACCCAATCAGGGCCGGGGACAAACTGCAACCAAGGTACATGCCCTTAGCGGGAACCGAACCCGGGTCTCTCCAGACTGCAGGCCGACACTCTAACCACTGAGATAAACCGACCAGGGCCTTAACTTGTTTTTGAGGCCATCACCCAATACCAAAACCTGAGAGAGAGATTACAAGAAGAAAGGGTCTTCAGACCTTTGCTCCTCATGAACACAGATACAAACGATACAAAATAAAATAGCAGCAAACTGAATTCAGCATGAAAAGAAGACATCACGACAGAGCAGAGATTAACCTAGGGATGCAAAATTGGTCCAAAGTCCAAGAATCAATGAACACAATTCCATAGAGCAAAGAAGAAAACCAGTAGGAACCTCTCGATACAAGCAAAAAAGAAAAATTTAAAAAGCATTCAACAAAATTCAACATTAACTTATGATAAAACAAAAAAAACTTTCCACAAACTAGGAATATCAGGGCAATTAACAAAAAACTGACAACTAACACTATATTTAACTGAAAAACAAGGCTTTCTTCTCAAGAATGAAATAAAAAAATATATTTTTTAGCATTTGATAAAAGTTTACTTTCAAATGTAAATATAGAATTTTTCTAAAAATATCAACACATTCATGATACAGAAAAAACAAAACAAAAAGAACAATGCGGCCCATTCTCGCCACTTCTAGTGGACCAGACCCTCCCTCGCCAGTGTGAGAACCAGGGGAAATCATACAGCTCAGGGGTGAGCAATAAGTCTTGACTCACGGGTGATATGATTGTCTATGAAGAAAATACAAAAGACTCCACTTTCAAAGGCTTCTGAAACTGATACGTGCCTTCAGCAAGGTCACGGCACACCAGGTCAATCCGATCAATTGAATCTCTGTCCATTAGCCATGAACAGCTACAGAAGGAACCGTTTTAAAGGACGGTAGTCAAGGGCCCTAGAAACCGGCACACTGCTGGGCCCTGGTCCAACAAAACACGCGCAGAACCAGCCGCAAATCGCAAACGGCAATGAGAAGAGCCGCACAAGGCCTGAGGAAGTGGAGCCTGCCTTCATGGGTTGGGACACTCAATATTATTCAGATGTAAATTCCGCCGAGATTGAACTATAAATTCAGTAAAACACCCACCAAAATCCTGGAAAAGTTTTTATAGGAGTGTACAAGCTGATTCTAACATTCATACGAAAAGGCAAAAAACCACCACCACCACCTCTAAGCAGAAAATACTGTTTAAAAGAAAAAACGGGTCTCCCGCGGTCCAGTCTAGCATGGAAGGATCTTAAAAGTCACCACTCCGCCCTGGCCGGTTTGGCTCAGCGGTTAGAGTGTCAGCCTGCGGTCCTGAGAGACCCAGGTTCGGTTCCTGCTAAGGGCATGTACCTCGGTTGCAGTTTGTCCCCGGCCCTGATTGGGTCGTGTGGGTGGTGACCACTCGATGTGTCCCTTTCACGTCGATGTTTCTCTCTCTCCTCTGTTCCTCTCTCTCCCTCCCACTCTACCTGAACAAAAAATGGAAAAATGTCCTCTGGTGAGGATTAAAAAAAAAAAAAAAAAAAAAGTCACCACTCCATCCAAACAGGGACAAAACTGAACAAACTCAAATATCAACAGCTGTGAGCTCACAGGGAAAACCGCTGACCCCCACGTTAGAGAGACACACAGCTTGGTAGAATCACAAACTCAGGCACAGATACCTCCCCGGAACCCGCTCGGGGCAGAAACACCTGCCTCCAATTGCCAACTGGCTGGAGGCTCAGTGCAGACAAGTCTGAGAGTTACAAACTCTCGGGGGGACTCGGTGGTAGGAGACCCCCACACTTTTGTGGTTTGGCCTCCAAGAGCTTTACCAGGTCTTCCCAAGAAGTTGCCCCTGGCTACCCAGCCGGGGAGAGGCAGTCACATTTCTACGTGCTGTGCTCTCAACGAGGCCTGCCTTAGGAGAAACCACTTGACCGCAGCCCACCCAGCAGGATTAATCAGACACAGCCTACTTGGGGCACAGGAAATACCCAGCTCCAAGGGGCTCTGGCCTTCCACAGGGAGGAGAGAGATACCCAACTCCAGTCCCCCAGTCACTTGATCCCACCCAAGGGGTGGAAGAACAAAACAGAAACATGGGAAGTTCCTGGCCCATGGGCACAAGCTCACTAGAAGACAAGGCTCAATCCTGGGCCTGGAGAACCCGTGCCCTTCCCACACCTGACTGCAGCATCATGAAAGTCATGTTGTCTGCGTTTCCTTTTACCCAGCACACCGTGTCCACCTTCCAACAAGAAATCAAAAGGCATAGTAAAAAGCAAAAAAATACAATTTTAAGAGACAGAGCAGACACCAGAACCAGACTCAGAGATGACAAGGAGGTTGAAATGATCAGACTAGGGTTTTTAAAATTATGATGAATAAGCTAATAGCTAAAAAAATAAGCTAATGGCTTTAATGCGAAAAGTAGTCAGCATGCAAGAATACAAGGATAATGTAAGCAGAGAGTTAGACATTCCAAGAGAGAATAAAAGAGAAATGCTGGAGATGAAAAGAACACAGTCACAGAAAGAATGCCTTTGATGGGCTCATTGGGACAGGTAGACCTCGGGTTGCTGCATTGCACAGATGTTGCATTTTTTACAAATGGAAGGCAAGACCTCCACCAGCAAGATTACAACTCGCTTGCAGTAGTCTGGAACCAAACCCGCAATATCTCCAAGATATGCCCGTACACGGGACACAGGTAAGGAAAGAATCTCTGAGCTTGGGGCTATGACCATAGAAACTTCCACAACCGAAAAGCAAGGAGAAAGTAAACACTGAAAACAAAACAAAACAAAAAAAAACAGAACAGAATATCCATGAATTATGAGACAACTGCATGATGGGAATATCAGAAGGAAAAGAAAGAAGAAAAGGAACATAAAAATACTTGAAACAATAATAACAAAGAATTTCCTCAAATTAATGCAAGACACCAAATCACAGATCCGGAAGCCCAGAGAACGTTAAACAGAATAAATGCCAAAAAAAATATACCTAGGCATGTTATATTCAAACTTAAAAAAAATAAAGATAAGGAAAACATTCTGGAAGAAGCCAGAGGCGTGAAACCACTTCTAGAGGGGCAGAGAGAAGAATTTTCCGAACTTGTCAGAAACCATGCAAGCAAGAAGAGAGCGGAACAAAATCTTCGAAGTGTTGGGAAGGAAAGAAACAAACAAAACAAAACTCACAACCTACAAAAGAGACCACATTCCGGGCCATAAAACGGACCTTAAAAAATAAAAAGAACACAATGTCTTCTGTCAGGCCGCAATGAAACTATACTAGATACTATTAACAGAAAGATAGGTGGAACCCCACGTGTGTGGAGATTAAACAACATACTTCTAAACAATACATGGGTCAAAACATGTTTTCGCCCTGGCCGGTGTCGCGCAGTGGTTAGACATTTGGCATGAGGACTGAAGGGTTGCGGTTCAATCGCTGGCCCCATTTGGGGCACATAAAGGAGGCAACCAATCAATGTGTCTCTCTCACATCGATGTTTCTCTCTCTCTCTCTCTCTCTGCCCTTCTTTCTCTCCCTCTCCCTCCCTTCCACTCTCTCAAAATCAACGGAAAAAATATCTTCAGGTGAGGCTTAACAACAACAACACATTTTCAAGAGAAATGTAAAACTATTTTGAACTAAATGAAAATGTAAGTTTTTCAAGTTTGTGGGATGCAAGCAAAGCTCAGAGGAAGACTTCTAGCATCAGACACACATGTATTTGAAGAGAAGAAAGATCTGAAATCAGTGGTCTAAGCTTCAACTCTGGAAACTAGAAAAAGAAGAGAAAATGAAAACCAAAGTCAGAAAAAGAAATATAATAAAAATGAGTGCAGGAATCAATGAAATTGAAAAACAGAAAATCAATCAAGAAAAATCAACCAAAAGTTGGTCCTTTGAAAAGTTTAATAAGATTGATGAGGCTTTATTTAGCCAGCCTAACTAGGAAAAAAAGAGAAGACATATATGACTAATATGAGAAAAGAAAGAGAAACCACCACTACAGAAACCACGGTTATTAAAAGCATTATCAAGGAGAAAAAAAGTATAATAAAGGAATATTATGAATAACTCGATGCCCACAAATTTATAATAACCTAGGATGAAATAGACCAATTCCTTGAAAGATACAGTCTGCCAAAACTCCATAAGAAGAAATAGACAACCTGAGTGGGCCTGTATCTATTTGAGAAATTGAGTCAATAATTAATAACTTTCCAAAACAGAAAGAACAGCCTCAGATAGGTTCACTGGTGAATTCTACTAACCCTTTGAGAGAGAAATCACACCAATTCTCTATCATTTCTTTTCAATGACAGAAACAGATGGAATACTCCTCACTCATTCTCCGAGGTCAGCATGACCCTAATACCAAAACCAGAAAAAGACATCACAAGAAAACTACAGCCCAGTATCTCTTTTTATTTTATTCCTCACCGGAGGATATTTTTCTACTTATTATCAGATAAGAATGGGAGGGAGGGAGGGAGAGAGACAGACAGAGAGAAACATCGATGTGATAGAGCCACATCGACTGGCTGCCTCCCGCACGACCGGGGTCGGGGACAAACCGCACCGAGGTACGTGCCCTTGACTGGAATCAAACCCGTGACTCATTGTCCGAGGGCTGATGCTCTAACCGCTGAGCCAAACAGGCCAGGGCTAGCCCAGTATCTCTATGGAGCACGTGCCCTTGACTCGAATCAAACCCGTGACTCATTGTCCGAGGGCTGATGCTCTAACCGCTGAGCCAAACAGGCCAGGGCTAGCCCAGTATCTCTATGGAGCATAGATCCAACAATCCTCAACAAAATATTAGCAAATTGAAATTCAGAAAGAATTATATACCACAACCAAATGAGATTTATCCCAGGTGGGCAAGTTGGCTCAACATTCAAAAACCAATTAATGTAATCCATCACCTCAACAGACTCAAAAATGAAAAATCACATGATCATATCAATAGAGGCAGAAAACAAAGTCAGACAAAATCCATCATCCATTCATGGCATTTTCATCACAGGGTAGCCCTCCCTCTTGCTCCAGGCCAGATTTTCTTGATTTGGGGATGGGTACCTCATCCAGGCTGTATTATCGGTCTCCAACTCACAAAAATGAGTGTTAAGTCATGATGTTGCAGTCTTAACCTGGATAATTTTTTGAATGGTGGGGATGAAAATTTGGGAGATTTTGACCGTCACACTTTCTGCAATAGAGTCTAGAAGTGCATAGGGCATCTTTATTCCATTTGGTCAAAAAGGTCTACAATCCTTTTGTGTGTTGCTGGGTTTGGTTTAGTTTGTTCCTTTTCTAATTTCTTGAAGAGGGATCTTAGGTTATTGATTTGAGACCTTTTTTCTTTCCCCATACAGGAGTTTGCAGCTATGAGTTTTCCTTCAAGCACTGCTTTGGTTACATCCCACACACTTCCTTATGTTGTATTTTTGTTTTCTCTTCAAAGTATTTATTTACTTCTTTTGATTTCTTTCTTTTGTGACTCGTAAGTTATTTAGAAGTGTGTTTAATTTTCAAAAGTTTTAGGTTTTCCTAGGTCTTTTTCTGTTGTGGGTCTCCATTTTATTTATTTTTCATATTTTTTCTTTATTGATTTTAGAGAGAGAGATAGAAACATCGATGAGAGAGAACACCAGATTGGCCACTTCCTGCATGTCTCCCAGTAGGGATCAGGCCCACGTTATGTCATTTTAATCTTTAACAATTTGAGTGTCGTTTTGTCCAGCTTATGGTCTGTTCTGAAAAATGTTTTATGTGCTCTTGATAAGAATGTGTATTCTTCAGCCCTTGGGTGTTTTCCATATGTCAGGCCAAGATACTGTTGTTCAAGTCTTCTATATGCTTGTTGGTTTTTTTATTTTGTTTTTATTGTGGTTAAAACATATAACATAAAATTTATCATCTTAATCATTTTTAAGTTTATAGTTCAGTAGTGTTAAGTATATTCACATTGTTATGAGACAGACCTCCAGAATGTTTTCATCTTGTGAAACTGAAACCCCATACCTATTAAAAATCACTCCCCTCTCTCCCGTCTCCCTAGCCCCAGGCAAACACCATTCTACTTCCTGTTTCTATGACTGTGATTACTTTAGATACCTCTTACAAGTGGAATGCTTACAGTATCTGTCTTTTTGTGACTGGCGCATTTTATTAACGTAATGTCCTCAAGGTTCCTATATGTTGTAGCATGTGATAGGCTTTTCCTTCCTTTCTTCTTTATTTCTATCCTCACCTGAGGACATTTTTCCATTTTTTGTTCAGATAGAGTGGGAGGGAGAGAGAGGAACAGAGAGAGAGAGAGAGAAACATCGACGTGAAAGGGACACATTGAGTGGCTGCCACCCGCACGACCAACCAGGACTGGGGATAAACTGCAACCGAGATACGTGCCCTTAGCGGGAACCGAACCCGGGTCTCTCTGGACCGCAGGCCAATGCTCTAACCACTGAGCCAAACCGGCCAGGGCGGCTTTCCTTCCTTTTTACGGCTCAGTAACTTTCCACTGTGTGGACAGACCACACTTTGTTTATCCACCATCCATCGGTACATGAGAAATTACTCCAAAACGTATTGGCTTAAAACAACACACATCTGTCATCTCGTAGTTTCTGTAGGTTAAAACGTGAAACAGCTTAGCTAGGCACTTGTGATTCACGGTCTCACGAGGTGACCTTCAAGAGGTCAGCCGGCTCTCACCGAGAGACAGTGGGACGAAGGTGACCTAGCCTGTGACGTCCCCCACTGTCCCTGCTTCATTCGTTCATTAGAAGTGACTACCTAGGTTCAGCCCACACTCCAGACGCGGAACGTTCAGCCCACACTCCAGACGCGGAACGTTCAGCCCACACTCCAGACGCGGAACGCTGAGGCTCCAGCTCTTGACAAGAGGAGTGTTAGACGCCTAGGCAGAAGCAGGAAGGACATTTAGGGATGGGAACTGCATCCTCCAGATCATTATCCACACCATTGCTGGATTCTTCTCATCACATTGAACTTTGTTCATGGTTTTCCATCGGCGGTCCCTCTAGGACAGAGGCTACGACGTCAGCACGCGATTCAAGGCTCCTTCCCGCTAAAATGTCCTTTTCTCTCATCTCAGCGTGTTCAAATCCTGCTCAAAAGCCATTCCTTCCAAGAAACAGTCCCCAACCATCTCAACTGGAAATAAGATCTTCCTCTTCTGGCTTCGCAGTGTGTCATTTTAATCTTCGTATTTCAATGACCTGCATGCACGTCACATCTCCCCTACCGAGGCTGCAGCTCCTTGGTGGCACGGGTCATACCTAGGTCTCCTTGTTTCCCTCTTGGCACCTAAACTTCATCTGAAAGTCCCATAAATACTTGTCTAGTTACTTGCATCATAAGGACACAAGTATTATAGCAAAACAAACAAGCAAACAGAACAGGAGAGTTTTGCCATCTTTGGTGTTTTTCTTTACGATAAAGTGATTTAGCAAAATGTAAAAAGGCAAAATGTCGTGGATGTTTGGCGGATGGGCTGTAAAAGCGGAGGGCCAGGCTAGCTTGCGGCCAGGCGAGACCGTTGCCCAGGCGAGACCGTTGCCCAGGTGTTGCCTAGGCGAGATGGAGTGAACATCTGGGTGAAGGTGGCACGGAGATGAGAGATGCGGAGAGACTGAAGGTCTGCTGTACAAGTAGAACAGATATAGAAGTACCTTAGAATTGGATGGGGACAGAAGTCAAGGTGATTGGCACTGGTAACTGTGGAGCCGATGTCCCATTTCCTGCAGAAGGACCATGCTGGGGTACTCACAGAGATGCTGAGATGCCAGTGAGGAAACCCAATGGTGAGGTCAAGAGGCAGCTACATCACTTAGATGCACAAGTCTAGAGATCAGAGAAGACACGAGGGTTGGAGAGACAGACTTGACAGTCCTCAGCATATAGGCGGTTTTGAAGATGTGGGAAGGAGGAGAGCCCCTGGGAAGAGTGGAGGTGGAGAAGACTCCAAGCCCAGGTCCTGAGGACCTGAAATCTCTAGAGAACACGTATGGGGACCACGGGGAAGAAGTCTGAGAAGGAACAGCTGAGGAGCTGGGCGGCAAAGCGGGCAGGTGCGGTGCTGTGGACGCAGAGGAGGGACACATTCTGAGAGGGCAGAGCTGTCTGTGCCAACTATGTTGGAAAATCGATTAGAAAGGAGACAGAGAGACTTGAAAAAATGGTGGTGGAGTGAATGGAGCTACACAGACCATCTCCCAGGACCAAAGTGGATTTACAACGAAAATAAAGACAAATCGTCAGGAAGGGGCAACCGAAAGACAGCCTGGAGGACCACATAACCAGGGACACTGACTCGATCCTGGTAGGCTTGCGAGGACGCGAGAGGGGCCGGGAGCCCACGGTCCGCAGCGGCCTGGGCTGGGACCAGCGGCCTCAGCTGAGACCAGGGGACTCAGCAGGAAGCTGCTGCCGCCTTGGCTGTGACCGCAGCTAAATCCTGCGAACTCGGCTGAGCGCTACGCCCTCG